GAGGACAGACAGGTAACAGCTCCAGATTCTTCCAGGAGTGGTGAATTTTGTGAGGGGGTTGAGAGGGTGGCATAAGGAGATGACCTTTGAGTCTCCCTGGAGGGATGAGGGAGGGCCCAGTAGCTCACACCAGGCAGAAAGTGGGGGAGGGCTGGCATCCAGACTGGGCACTCCCCTGTGGAAGAAGGGCTGCCTGGAACCCCCAGATAGAGCGGGCTGGGCATGGAGGGCTGGGCACAGGCGGGGCAGCAGTGAGGGTCCAGATGCCCTGCCTGGGACACACAGCTTCAACAAAGGCTTGAACTCAGGGTTGTTGGGAGCACAGCGTCTGCTGGAAGGGAGAATGTCACAGACCAGGAGTGGAGGGACGTCAGTTGGGGGACATTGGAAGGCTCTGGCCACAGAGCCTGGTCATCAGTGCAGGGCCAGTTTGGATGCGGGGCCCGAGGACCAGGAGGCTTTGAGGATCGTGCTGCTTTTCTGGCTCAGATACTCTCATTTAGGGTTATTCGGTAACATCTGAATCTGGAGTTTCAGAAGGAGGAGAAAGTGAGCTGTTGTTATGAGGAGGACAGTGCTGGAGCAGGCAGTGGGGTGTCATTGTTTGCACACAACATAGGTATGATGTGGAGTACCCGTCACCTTAGATCTGTGTTAGAACAGGGGGACTCCTTCCATGGGCCCAATGTGGGGCCAGGCCCTGAAAGCACCATGGGGGCAGCAGGACAGGCGTCCTCCCTGATGGGCCTGTGTCTGGCAGGTGTGCAGGGGTGCCCATGGCTGTGGTGGTCACAGGCACTGGGGTTGTGGAGAAGGTGAGAGTGGCCAGAGAGAGGCTGGGGTAAGAATGGGCAAGAGCAGCAGGCCGACCTGGGGATGCAGCAGTTCAGAACAGGGAGGGGGAAGCGGGCACCGAGGGTCCAGAAACGGACAGGGCCACATGCTGCTCACAGGTGCAACCGGGTGGAGAGTGAGAAGCTGCCTCCAGATGGCATCTGGAAGGTGGGCATGCTAGGCACAGGCAGGGAGAGCCTGAACCTGTGGGGGCCCAGCCTTCACCCTGGTCCACACTGGAGTTCCCTCCCTTCCAAAAGTGTCCCTCCCCTACCCGGCCACAGGCTGCCTGATCACCCTGCTTTGCTTCTTCCCTGGGACATGAGTCCCTGTCCCTAGGGCAGGGACTTTATGGACCCCCTCCTTCCACGTCCGCACCCCCTGGAGCCCACACAGGGCCGTGGACATCTGCGCAAGAAAATGGCGTGCTGGGAAGATGACCTCTTAGAAGGGCCTTCTCGTTCTGTGGATCTGTGAGGTCCAGTCTGTTCTGACACAGATTGGCAATGAGATACATTGTAGCTCAGCCTGGGAACTTCCTGGGTGCAGAATGGACTGTCTTGGAGGACGGCCGAGTGGAGCCTGGTCTGGATGATGCTTGCACCTGCTGGGAGCGTGAGGGTGCAGGATGGTCCGGGAGGAGGCCATCACCATGCGGTCCTGAGATGCCAGGCCAGGTCCTGAGATGCAGCCCTGACTCCTGACCCTCGTCCTTTGTGGGCGCCCACTCCGAGCAAGAGGACGAGGATTGGTCAGTGTTGAACACACCCGAGAGGTGTGAGAGCAGGTTTCCCATTTCTATGTTTTCAGAGTTGAGACAGAAGCCTGCCGTGCACGGAATTGTGTCCTCTTCATTCGTATGTGGAAGCCCTGACTCCCATTGGGGCTGTATTTGGAGAAGGGGCCTTTAGGAAGTAATTAACGTTAAATGGGGTCACAGGGCCCTTGTCCAACAGAGGTGACCTTAGAGGAAGTGGAAGAGCTCTCTCTTCCCACCTGCTGGAAGGAAGAGCCATTCAGGGGGAGAGCTGCCATCCTCAAGCCAGGGAGAGGCCTCACCAGAAAGCAAACCCTGCCAGACCTTAGCCTGGGACTTCCAGCCTCCAGGACTGGGAGAAAGGAAGTTCTGTTGGTCAAGCCAGCCAGTCTACCGTATGTGGATATGGTAACCCAAGCCAGCGTACACAAAGCCACTTATTAGGACACACAGGTTGGCTGCCTGCTGTGGGGTGGGCTGTGGGAGGGCTCATTTCGTCTGTGCAGCAGCCTCCAGGCACCTGGGGCCGGGGGCAGAGGCACACACAGCAGTGGGCCAGCAGTGACGGGCTCCCCAAACTGAGCAGATCCAAGTCAAGCGAAACGTTTCCTTTGCATTAGTGGCCATGAAACTCCCTTTCACAAAGATGGGTTGATGAAAGCCGTGAGGCACTTTCCTGTAGTGGATCCTGATAGAAGAGCTTCCCGCACACAGTGAGAGGGGCCTGGGGCCAAGGCCAGCGCATGCTCAGGCCTGCCAACATCGTAAACCTGGGCGTTCTGCCTCTCCCGGGCGTTGCCCTGCCCAGCACACCCTGCAGCCTTCAGAGTCACCCTCCGAGTACGCAGAGGAGCTGCACCTTGTGGCCCAAGCCAACATGACCCAGGCCAGGCTGGTTCAAAGGTGACGAGTCTGACCAGTGGTTCTTAAAGTGGGGTTCCCAGGTCCCAGCAGTGAACCCTCAGAACTGGGCCGCCCTAAACCTTTAATAATTAGGGGCGAATGACAGTGTGCCTGAACTTAGCAATTATCTTTTAATTTTGAGTGTTATATTTTACAGGGGAGTCATAGTATCATCTAGAACATTCCCCAGATGTTGATGCCTATAGTTGAGGCCTGAGGTCTTACATGATTGGTTATTTTCCACAATCACAGCACAGTGTGAACAGAATCGTGATTCGTGGATTTGCTGCTGTTCCGCATACTGCCGTGAAACGCGTGGACACAGGTGCGCAGATTGTCTTATGCTGTCACTAGAGGTGGAGTTGAGGCTGTGTGCAGAACGGGCAGTGCGTGCAAGCACTCGGGACGGCCTGAGCTAGAAGAGACTCTCCACATGACCGATTCAGTCGTCTCTCATTGTGCGTGTGTGTGCGTGTGCTTGTGTGTACGCGTGCGGTTGTGCGTGTGCCTGTGAGTGGTGGCTGCCGCTGGCCTCTGAAGCCCTGCATTTGCAGGTGTTGAGGCTCTCACACTGCTCCCCGCTGCCCCTGGCATCCTTCCTTTGGGCAGCCAAGATGTGTTCTGTCCCTCCCAGCAGTCCTCCCTGGAAATGTGTGTCCTCGTTGTCGTGTTCCCTTGGGCCCTGGCTCTGATGATGTGATCATGAATGATGATGTTTAATGAGACACCCTTCTTAGGTCAGATCAATGCATTTTACTAGGGACTTTCTGCAAAGTATCTGAACCCCGAATATCCCAAGTTGTTGATGGAACTCTAGTCCAGCTAGTTGTTCCCTCAGACGGGAAAAGTAAGTAAAAGTGCCTTGGTCAAAGAAGCTGAGGCGGTGTTCCTTGCAGTAGTCTCCCTTGGGAGGTGGGAAGGTGGGTTGTGCAGTAAAGGATCTGACATGTCCTGCAGTCACAAGTCCAGGTTGCATCTCGGTTTCTGTGCCCTCCAGCCTCATCCATGGGACAACTGCCGTATCCCGGAGGCCCCTCTGGGAAACGCTGCCTTCAGCCCATGAGGTCGCTCTGCTGCGCGGTCGTGGACCTGTAGTCGGCGGATGGAGCGTGGACCGTTGGGCTTTTGTAATTAAACAGCTTTTATTGTGATAAAATATTTATAACATATAAGTGACCATTTTAACCATTTTAAGTGCACAGTTTCATGGCGTTAAGAATGTTCATATTGTTGTGCAGCCATCACCACCCTCCATCTCCGGAACTTTCTCATCTTCCCAGACGGAAACTCTGTCCCCATCCCCTCCTTCTCCTGGCACCCACCACCATTCTGCTTTCTTTTTCTATGAATGTGACGGTTCTAGGGCCCTCACGTGAGGCGAGCCGTGCCGTACGTGTCCTCTCGTGACCGGCTCCCTTCACTGAGCACCGTGCCCTCGAGGTGCATCCACGCTGCGGTGCGTGTCAGAACTCCCTTTCCAAGCCTGAGTGATGTTCTGCCTTCTGAAGGAAGCAGAAGGCCCAGGTTTACGATGTTGGCAGGCCTGAGCATGTGCTGGCCTTGGCCCCAGGCCCGTCCCACTGTGTGCGGGAGGCCCTTCTATCAGGATCCACTACAGGAAAGTGCCTCACGGCTTTCATCAACCCATCTTTGTGAAAGGGAGTTTCATGGCCACTAATGCAAAGGAAACGTTTCGCTTGACTTGGATCTGCTCAGTTTGGGGAGCCTGTCACTGCTGGCCCACTGCTGTGTGTGCCTCTGCCCCCGGCCCCAGGTGCCTGGAGGCTGCTGCACAGACGAAACGCTACACCGCGTTCATCCCTCCAACCATCAGTGGAGATTTTGGTGCCTTCCAGCTTGTGGCTGCAGTCAATGAGGCTGCTCTGGGCCTTGGTGAACAACCATGGCTTTTGCCATCTGGCAGCCCCATGAGGGTGGCGCTTCGCTCTGCCCAGGCAGGGGATGGGCGGGGCCATGTTGGGCTCTTGCTTTTGCTGAAGACCAGAGCGTTTTCATTGCTTGCCATTGAGGAGTGTTTTTATTTATGGGAACGATATAATACTGTCTGTGAAGATCCTGCTCTGAAAATTGATAACCAGGTCGTGCCCGATGGGTGTTTACAAATATTTGCCATGTGGAAGTCGTGAGGGGACTCCTGGGTCACTTAGGAGGGAACAGCCGATAGGAGGAGTACTTGGTGGGTGGTAGCTGGAGTCCCAAGTTCCTGCCCTTCCCACCAGGCTGCAAGGGTCAGACTGACATCTTTGGGACGAGCACAGGATACCATCCTCCAGTTCAGTCCCCTTTGCTAAAGACACACTCAGGAGGGGACAGCACCTTTTGGAACCTAACTCCTACAAAGGGATAGATATGTAAACTTGGGGTAGCCTTGTGTACTGGGAGCTAGGCTGACAAATATCTTTTTAAAGATCATCTAACTGCTGGGGAGGCTGCATCCTTGAAGATGATTTACTTCTTCTAACTGGGTTTTACTTTTCTCTCCTAGCTTATGTTCCTGAGGAAGAATTGAAGGCAGCAGAAATAGATGAAGAGCACGTGGAGGATGACGGGCTGTCTTTGGACATTCAGGAAAGTGAGTACATGTGCAATGAAGAGACAGAGATCAAAGAGGCGCAGAGCTACCAGAACTCCCCAGTCAGCTCTGCGACTAACCAGGACGCCGGCTACGGGTCGCCCTTCAGTGAGAGCAGCGACCAGCTGGCCCATTTCAAAGGCTCTTCCTCTCGAGAAGAGAAGGAGGATCCGCAGTGTCCCGACAGCCTCTCCTACCCCCAGGACAGCCTGGCACAGATCAAAGCTGTGTATGCAAACTTGTTCTCTGAGTCCTGCTGGTCCAGCTTAGCTCTGGATTTAAAGAAGTCGGGTTCCACCACCAGCACCAACGATGCCAGCCAGAAGGAGAGCTCCACCCCCACCCCCACGCCCCCTGTCTGCCCAGCCAGCACCGCCGGCCCCACGGCGAGCACGCCCAGCACCAGCTGCAGCTCCAGCACCAGCCACAGCAGTACCACCAGTACCAGCAGCAGCTCCGGGTACGACTGGCACCAGGCCGCACTGGCCAAGACGCTGCAGCAGACGTCCTCGTACGGGCTGCTCCCCGAGCCCAGCCTGTTCAGCACGGTGCAGCTCTACCGCCAGAACAACAAGCTCTACGGCTCCGTCTTCACTGGCGCCAGCAAGTTCCGATGCAAAGACTGCAGCGCCGCGTACGACACGCTGGTGGAACTGACGGTGCACATGAACGAGACAGGCCACTACCGTGATGACAACAGGGACAAGGACTCCGAGAAGACCAAGCGGTGGTCCAAGCCCAGGAAGCGCTCCCTGATGGAGATGGAGGGGAAGGAGGACGCCCAGAAGGTGCTGAAGTGCATGTACTGTGGACACTCCTTTGAGTCCTTGCAGGACCTCAGCGTCCACATGATCAAAACCAAGCATTACCAGAAAGTGCCTCTGAAGGAGCCAGTGCCAGCCATCACCAAACTGGTCCCCTCCACCAAAAAGCGGGCGCTTCAGGACCTGGCGCCCCCCTGCTCCCCTGAGCCAGCAGGAATGGCTGCAGAGGTGGCCCTGAGTGAGTCAGCCAAGGATCAGAAAGCGGCGAACCCATACGTCACACCCAATAACCGCTACGGCTACCAGAACGGTGCCAGCTACACCTGGCAGTTCGAGGCCCGCAAGGCGCAGATCCTCAAGTGCATGGAGTGCGGCAGCTCCCACGACACCCTGCAGCAGCTCACCGCCCACATGATGGTCACCGGGCACTTCCTGAAAGTGACCACCTCAGCCTCAAAGAAGGGCAAGCAGCTGGTGCTGGACCCCGTGGTGGAAGAGAAGATCCAGTCCATCCCCCTGCCGCCCACCACCCACACGCGGCTGCCGGCCTCCAGCATCAAAAAGCAGCCCGAGTCTCCCGCAGGGTCCACAGCTTCGGAAGACAAGAAAGAGCCGGAGAAGGAGAAGCCGCCCGTGGCTGGTGATGCGGAGAAGATCAAGGAGGAAAGTGAGGACAGCTCGGAGAAATTTGAGCCCAGCACCCTGTACCCGTACCTGCGCGAGGAGGACCTGGACGACAGCCCCAAGGGAGGGCTGGACATTCTCAAGTCCCTGGAGAATACCGTCTCCACGGCCATTAGCAAAGCCCAGAATGGCGCGCCCTCGTGGGGTGGTTACCCCAGCATCCACGCGGCCTACCAGCTGCCGGGCACCGTGAAGCCACTCCCGGCGGCCGTGCAGAGTGTGCAGGTGCAGCCGTCCTATGCTGGCGGCGTGAAGTCGCTGTCTTCCACCGAGCACAACGCCCTCTTGCACTCGCCGGGGAGCCTCACGCCCCCACCGCACAAGAGCAATGTGTCTGCCATGGAGGAGCTGGTGGAGAAGGTCACGGGCAAGGTCAGCATCAAGAAGGAGGAGAGGCCCCCTGAGAAGGAGAAGAGCGCCCCGGCCAAGGCTGCGTCCCCCGTAGCAAAAGAGAATAAAGATTTCCCTAAAACGGAGGAAGTCAGCGGCAAACAGCAGAAGAAGGGCCCTGAGGCCGAGACCGGGAAGGCCAAAAAGGAGGGACCGCTGGACGTTCACACCCCAAACGGCACAGAGCCTCTCAAAGCAAAGGTCACCAACGGCTGTAACAACCTGGGGATCATCACCGACCACTCGCCGGAGCCTTCCTTCATCAACCCTCTGAGCGCTTTGCAGTCCATCATGAACACCCACCTGGGCAAGGTGTCCAAGCCCGTGGGCGCCTCGCTGGACCCGCTGGCCATGCTCTACAAGATCAGCAACAGCATGCTGGACAGGCCGGCGCGCCCCGCCGCCCCGGTGAAGCAGGCCGACGCCATCGACCGCTACTACTACGAAAACAGCGACCAGCCCATTGACTTAACCAAGTCCAAGAACAAGCCGCTGGGGTCGGGCATGGCCGAGCCGGTGGCGTCACCTCTGCGGGAGAGCGCGCTCATGGACATCTCTGACATGGTAAAAAATCTCACAGGCCGCCTGACGCCCAAGTCCTCCACGCCCTCTACAGTCTCGGAGAAGTCTGATGCTGATGGCAGCAGCTTTGAGGAGGCACTGGATGAGCTGTCACCGGTCCACAAGAGGAAGGGCCGGCAGTCCAACTGGAACCCGCAGCACCTGCTCATCCTGCAGGCCCAGTTCGCCTCGAGCTTGCGGGAGACCACAGAGGGCAAGTACATCATGTCGGACCTGGGCCCACAGGAGAGGGTGCACATCTCGAAGTTTACCGGCCTCTCCATGACCACCATCAGCCACTGGCTGGCCAATGTGAAGTACCAGTTGAGGAGGACAGGGGGAACGAAATTCCTAAAGAACCTGGACACAGGGCATCCTGTTTTCTTTTGCAACGATTGTGCCTCTCAGTTCAGAACTGCGTCTACATACATAAGTCATTTGGAGACGCACTTGGGCTTCAGCCTGAAGGATCTATCCAAGCTGCCACTCAATCAGATTCAAGAACAGCAGAATGTTTCGAAAGTCCTCGCCAACAAAACTCTGGGCCCGCTGGGGGCCACCGAGGAAGACTTGGGCTCCACATTCCAATGTAAGCTCTGCAACCGGACTTTTGCGAGCAAGCACGCAGTCAAACTGCACCTTAGCAAGACTCATGGCAAGTCCCCCGAGGACCACCTGATCTATGTGACTGAGTTGGAGAAACAGTAGCGTCCAGGTATGCAAGAGACCGCGGAACATTGCACTAAACGTCGTCGAGCTGCACTAGGCCTGGCCTGAGCCTCTAAAATCAGTCTTTCCTTTGTTGCTGGCCCGCCTCTCTGGACCTTGGTTTTCTTACACATATTTTGTATATTTATATGCTCTCTGTCCGATCTGTGCATGTTATTTTTCTTTTTCCGTGAGTCAAAGTCTGACCTTTATTTTCAACATCTGTTCTTGATGTTAAGCTATCTTTTGTAGGAAATAGTGGGGCACACTACTCAGAGACATTGTTTAGCAGTAAAGAAAGACACAAATAACAATGATAAAAAGACATCCTAAAATGACGAAGTTGCCATGACAATAAAGGTCATAGAACCTGGTAGTGTCAAATTTAACCCTTTGAGGACTGTAATTGCATTTCTGTGCCTTTCACTTGAAAAAAAAGAAAAAAAGAAAAAAAGGCTTAAAGGCATTTCATTCAGATCAAAAGCTGTGTCAGACACAAAACTTATTTAATAATTAAAAAATGAGCTTTTATATGCAGAACTGGTTTGTGAGGAAACATGCATGCAGCTGTGGGCAGATAGAAAGCTGTGTAGGACTCACGGGGTTTGGAAGCCACACCTCTACATGTCTAAAACAAAAAACAACAACAGATACCCACTCGCCACTATGCCCAAACCCTCTGGATGCGGAAAAATGCCACTTTCGGCAAAAAAAAAAAAAAAAAAAAAAAGTATGCAAGCTATTATTTAAAAATGTGTAAAAATGCTATTTCTTTTTTCCTGTAAAATATTGCGGTTTATAGTTATTTACAAATGTAAGCTTTGGTACAAGCTGACCTTTCTATAGCGTGCTGCATTGGTAAATGAAAAAAAAATGGGGCAAACGTTGGAGTCCTTTCCTTGTAAATTGCCAGCATCAGCTTAAAAACTCCTGTATGTTACATATCGTACCATTTTAATCTCTTCAACTTTCTTTGTACCTTCTGGCTGTATGCTTTCCCTTTTAACTTTTTATATTGTCATTTTATATTAAATTTCTGTGTATATAATGTAAAACCACAATTTTTGAATAAAATTTAGTTCCTGCAGCTTGATTTAAATAGAGGACTTTTACTGGCACCTGCATCTCTCCAGATGCATGTACTCAGAGGGACTGTCAGACAAAAATAAATACATAAAAACAAAGCAAGCAATGCACTATTAATTATACATTTTGATGTTCTATCATTAATATTGTACAGTACATTTTGGTTCACACAATTAAATCCACTGTTTTCTCAGATGTAAAATAAACCCACATGCAGTTCTTGATTTACACGGATTGTCATGTCGTCATTATTTTGCCTTTGAGATGTTATTTCAGCAACAAGAGGTATTGCTTATGCAATCAACCAACAAAAATTCTATTCAGAATCATCATTTCATGATTTGTGTGCTGACATGTTTCATTCAAATGGTAAGTATTGTGCTTTAAAAAATGATAATTAAAATTTTTAACTCCACTGGGTGCTAAGGATTGCCGAGTTTAGCCATTGAGTGATGGCTGTTTTGTACTTAGGTGGGCTGAGATGCGTCCTTCAGAGAATCCTTTGCAGAATTTAAAAATATGTGTAATTAACCTGTGTGTCTATCCAGAGATTTAATGGTGGGAGTAGAGGGGTAGGGCTTACTCCACCAGCAAAGACCCCGAGGACCCAGGAATTAGTTTTGTGTTGCTCCAAAGAGGAAAACCGATTTCTGAGCTTTTAAAAACCTACAATTTTAAAAAGAAAACTGGCTGCTGTTGTATTCAGTGTTTGAAATGAGGCTTCCTTCTGCAGATTAGAGCACGGCGGGCTCTACTGAGAGTGCCAGGACGCTTGCCATGAAAACGCCCATCCTCCAGGGTGACCCCCATCCCTGAAAGCCCAAACTCACTGCCTAGTCTGTATCAAGGGAAGCATTGACATTGAGGCCCCCTGGCCTCTCCCCCCAGCCCCAGGAGCACTAAATGACACGGCCATGAAAATTTACTTTTCTGCCTTTTGCTTACATTTTCATAAAATTATATCCTGAGAAAGGTTAGCGCTTATACCTCTCTGTTCAGAAGCAGCTAAGCAATTGTGATATTTTAATTATTTCTCTCACATTGCCCCGTGACAGCAAGGATTGTTCTGTTTCCATTAATGATTTGAGGAGGAGGAGCAGGTCCAGGTGGGTCATACTTACACAGGCTTTTGTACTAACGCAGCAGAGCGCCAGGGAGGTTTGCTAAATTTTTCTGACTTTTTTCATTGGTAAATAGCTATGTCCTTTAGGAGCCTCAGCCATTTAGACATTTCAGTTCAATTACTGGGTGATTATGTACTTTGGGCTCAAGGGGTGACAGAGAAGAATAACAATGAGGCTTATGGCAGTGGCGTGGGGGCTTTGCATAATAATCCTTTGAAGTTATGTTTATTTTACCACAACCCCGCAAACATGTGATTATGTGATTTCACCCTCATAGCAAAAGTGTTAGCAGCAGCAGGTGAAGTGGTCCAAAGGGAGGTGAGTGCTCCCCAGAAGGGGGTCACTGGCCCAGTGTGCAGCTAAGCACTGAGTGGTTTTAAAGCGGCTGGCAACTTGAGTTCCGATCATTGGGGGATGGACATAGAATTGGGGTTTTCCTTTAAATTTTTTTCTTCCTAACTCGCCAACTGTATTGCTACATTGTCTTGACCGTAATTTCCCAATCAATGCATAGGAGACTAGGTTATCTTAATCATACCCCTGAAAGTGATAATGAACGTGGCGACTCCCACTATATTTGTCGAGTGCTTCCTTTGTGCCCGGGACTAATTCTAAGTGCTTCACACCTATGAACTCATTCCTTCCTCACAACTGTATGCGGTGGGTTCTGTTACTTTCACGCTCAGTTTACAGGTGAGGAGCCAGGCACAGCAGGGTTGAGGAACGGACCCAAGGCCACATGGCTTACGAATGACTAAATGACTAAACTTGGGCTTTCAGTCCAAAAAGCTTTTGCTACAGAACCACACTCTGAATGCCTGCTTACAGGCCTTGGGATCTGCCCCAGGTGGGAATCTCTGCTGTCACCCAGAGGCAGGGCGTCTCCTACGGGGTGGGGAGCTAGAGGCAAGGCTTCACGATGGTGCTGGGGGGCATGGGATGCAGCTGAGCAGCCAGAGCTGCTCTTCACCTCCCACTGCAGCCCTTGTGGATGGCAAAATGTAGCCGCCCCATGGTCTGCTGGATTTGAGAAAATAAGTTGAAAGATGTTTTTATGGTTCTGTAGCAACTTCAATTGAATACAGGTATACTTAGTAACACAGAAACTCAATTTGTAAGGATACGAATGGATTGAATAATCCAGGGAAGGATTGGGATACCTACAATCTGAAGATTTACTTGACACATTTCCCCTTCCTTCACTGATGTCCGAGGAAACGTGTCCACCCTTCCCTTCATGTAGTTTTGTGTGTCCCAGCAAATGAACTCCACGCACGGCACTGGGTCCTCTCGGCCTCCTAAGTCCTCCCGCGGTCCCAGGGAACAGATCTTCCTCTTCTGTGGTGTGGGGACAAAATGGCCCTGGCCACCTGGAGAGAGTCAGCCACCTGTCCCAGCCTGTGGGACGCTGGCAAGGAGGCCGGGGGTGGGGGGGGGTTCAGCTGTCTCGTTTGGCCTGGTGGCCGTCGTGCGCATGCAGGTGTCACCCTGATTTGCACTCATATTTGCCGTTTGAGACTTGGAGTCAATAACTAATCATGTATTTTTTCCTTCAGATGTAGAATTTTTTAAAGTTTGTGATAGTCCCCAAAATGGGTGAGGATGTTGCTTGATAGGTAGTCAGTTTTTAAAGAGAGATAAAACCTGTGAAATAATGACACACTATGGTTTATGTAAGCGAAACAAACTTTTTTAGGTAGTGTATGCAAAAAGGTGATTAAAAATTCTAACGATTCTGATCCGACATTTCTATAGTTGACAGCCTTTGAAAAACTGTTAACTTTAGTCTAAAGCATGTCTAACCTACTTCCAAATGTTCAGAAACCTGTATGTGCAAATAAAGGTTTCTGCTTTTTTCCGAGAGAAAATTTCTTATTTATTTTATTATAATTTATCTGAAGATAGTGGATACCATTGAAAGCTAATTATTGAATTGTTAGCTTACAAGATACCAAAAAGTAAAATCTCTTTTGGAGACAATTTGTGCTTTTTATATAACTTTTATTCTTATGACAAAAGTGATACAGTCATTGTAGAAAAGTTGGAAAATAAACATGAAGTTAATAAAAACTGTTGTTTTCATCTACAGAAAAATCACTGCTAATATTTTGGTGCTAACATCTTTTTTCCATGTTTCTACAAACTAGAGATCATGTTCAACATACTTTTTGTACCTTGCTTCTTCTTTACCTGACAGTAGATAACGTCTATTTTCTCATTTTGTTACATATGGAGGATTTTTAAATCTTTTTGAGCTGTACTATAATTTATTTAATCAATTCCCTATTACAGTTTTAAAAGCAACATTTAGATTTTTCAAGTTTTCTCAATTAGAAATATGAGTACAAGAAATTCCACTCAATATTATTGTGAATATTTTTTATTACTTCCTTACAATAAATACCTAGAATTGAAGTCGCTGCGTCATAATGTGATTTGGTGCATATACCAAATTACCCACAGGAAAACTTGTACTGGTTTAGACACTTATTTGCATGAGAATGACTGTTTCTACACACCTTTGCCGTGTGACTACAAGGGTTTGATGTTTTTAAGTTTTTGGCCATTTTCACTGATTAACCAATTTAATCTTGATGTTTTCCTGTATAATATTTTTAATGTTGATTGTTCATTTATGTTATTTAAAACATCATTCGAGGACATGTGTGATTTCTGGAGTACTTTTACATTAATTATGATTTTATTTATTTATTTATTTATTTTAAATCAGGGTCTTACTCTGTTGCCCAGGCTGGAGTGCAGTAACATGATGTTGGCTCACTGCAGCCTTGACCTCACTGACTCAAGCGATCCTCCCACCTCAACCTCCCAAGTATCTGGGACCACAGTTACACACCACCATGCCCAGCTAATTTTTGTGTTTTTTTTAGAGATGAGGTTTCACCATGTTGCCCAGGCTGGTCTCAAACTCCTGAGCTCAAGTGATCCGCCCGCCATGGCCTCCCAAATTCTTGGGAGTACAGGCGTGAGTCAGCCTGCCCGGCCTTCATGATTCATTTAAACTCAAGTGGCCACAGACAACCCAACCGCAAAGAGGAGAGAAAGAACTTAGCTAAGACCCTGTGGCTCCTTTGTGGATATGGGACTAGAACAGGGCAGTTATTTTCCAGGTCTGTTCCCCCTTGTTCATCCATAAAGCTATGTCTCATTAAAAGGTCCCCAGTGACTTCAAGTGAATAATGTACTTTTGTACTCTCTTCAAATTTCCCAACTTGCCCACAGGGAGTGGAGTCTCCAATTTTATTACTTCTATTGCTGATTTGCAATTAGTATTGATTAGCAAAACAAAGATAATTTCAAAATAAAGTGGTCACTACCCTAGTAGGATGAGATTTGATCACTTAGAGTAGACTCCATAAAATAAAAACACTTGGATTGACCTAGAAGTCAAGAGAGAGGGACTACTTTTAAATCTGTATCAGAATATCTCCCATAGGTGAGTTTGTTCCAGAGCTGAAATTCAAGGGCTCTGATAAGCCCCTGATGTCTTTGACCCAGATTCTTGATAGCCACACACAGAGGCCAACAAGCAAAGGGTGAGGACGATGAGGAAGCATGTTACCTTGAATAAGACCAGGATGCGCTGAAGAGTACGTGAGATTCATTTTCTTTCGTAAAGAGCGATAGCGTTTCACCAAAAGTGTTTAGATGACCTGTAACTAGTCAGTCACTATTTTTCTTACATCACCCAAAACTATTTACAATTTGATCTGACTGGTATAAAGGCTGTCTGATGATGCGTAGAGTGCATTTTACTTTGAACAGACAGTGGAAACAGTGGGCCCACATATTTGACCATATTTTGTTAAAATATTTGAGATATGGCACACATCATATTTAAATAGTAGCTAAAAATGTAGTTTTTCTGGTTAGAATGCAGTGCTTAAAGATGAATTTAAAAGGAAGTCTTTAAGACTGAAGCATTCTGAACAAAGCTGAATTTGCAGGGATATTTTTCCTTGATAGCTTGTTTGACCAAAAGTACATTAGTGGCAAGGAGCTGGGGACAGATACATTGGGAACACCAGTTTCTAAAGTATGGAAATAATAAGGAAAAGCCCATTTTGTATAACTGTAACCATCAG